GAGAATTTCCATTATAAAGAGTGTTTATCCCCCCCCCCCCCCCCAATGAAGTTTTAATAAAAACAATAAGATTTAAATTTTACCCCAACTCTTAACATTCTACGACTGCGTAATTAGGGTTGTCAAAATAACTCTTTGTTTGCGAACAACTCGTGTTCGTCTCGCTAAGCAAACGAGTTGAACACGGTTATACTTTTGTGTTCGAAATATAAACGAACCGAACACAAACAATGATATTTTTTAAAGAGTCAAACAGGAGCTAAGCCTGACTCGCCTGTGCTCGACTAGGGCTGTCAAAAAAGCTCGTTGTTCGCGAATTTTTAGCTGCATTTTTTTGAAAATGCAGACAAAAAAAAAATTTCCCAAACAAAAAAAAAAATTGCGGTGCGGCGCCGCACCGTCACGGAACCGCCGTCCCAAACACATCCTAAGCGTTGCTCTTCAAGCTTGTGAATACACAATGGTGCCAAAGTCAGTTATGTATATTAATAAAGGGTCCCGAGTCGGATACAAATATGAAAATATGTAATAATGACTTGTAATGTCCCTATTAAAGTAGGGTTTAGCATGGACAAACATGTAACTTTACAAAGTATCCCTAGGATATATAAATGAGGGATAATTTCTTCAATAAAAGACTATTGAATCCACCCCTAATGATGTTTTAATATAAACAATAAGATTTAAAATTTACCCCAACTCTTAACATTCTACGACTGTGTGATTAGGGTTGCCAAAATAACTCTTTGTTTGCGAACAACTCGTGTTCGTCTCGCTAAGCAAACGAGCTGAACGCGAATACACTTTTTGTGTTCGAAATATAAACGAACCAAACACAAACAATGATATTTTTTAAAGAGCCAAACGGGAGCTAAGCCTGATTTGCTTGTGTTCGACTGGTTTACACCTCAAAATATAAGGCCTGTGAATCAACACGGTGGGTTAACCTCGGTTGTAGGAACATGAAAATTGGCACTTTGGCAGGAGAGTGTAGTGGGCGGTGCTCTTTTAAATTTTTACAGCTAGTTATCAATAAATATGTTGCATGTTCAAACATTAATTGGATTGGATGACGAAAAACACAACCTGCTCGACTAGTTTACACCTCAAAATATAAGGCTTGTGAATCAACACGGTGGGTTAACCTCAGTTGCAGGAACATGAAAATTGGCACTTTGGCAGAAGAGTGCAATGGGCGGTGCCCTTTTAAATTTTTTCAATTAGTTATCAATAAATATGTTGCATGTTAAAACATTAATTGGATTGGATGACGAAAAACACAACCGTGTGTGTGTGCGCGCACACACACACAAGCTTTGACCTGTTGGTGGCAGGGTCACCGTGGGCTCCTATCATGGGGCCTAGCGCAGGGGAGATCAGTATTTGGACATCTGCTAAATATTGATTCCCTTTTACCTGTGTGTGTGCGCGCGTGCGCGTACAAGCTTTGGCCTGTTGGTGGCAGGGTCACTGTGGGCTCTTATCATGGGGCCTAGCGCAGGGGAAATCAGTATTTGGACATATGCTAAATACTGATTTCCTTATATAATTTTTTTTCTGAGGGGTATTTCTGCTTGATGGATATTTATCTACATGCTATGATAACGAAGAACTTGGTTGATTGGTCGTTACTATAAAATTACACATTTTTTTGTTTTTATAGTTTTTTTAGCTACCACAATATTATTTTTTTATTATTTAATGTATTTGTTATTTTTATATTTGTTGCTAGCAAACTATTAATTAGAACTTTAGCCATTTTCAAATTAATTATTACAACATTTTTTATAGCTTGGATGTGGATTCTATTTGCTTTAATTTTTTTGTTTACTCTAAATGTGGACTAATAATAGCTTTTTTTTAATTAACAACAATTCTAATATAATTTCGGAGAAGTTAGTGTTAGTGACCATTGAATTCAAATAAGTCTTGTGGATCAAACCCACTATATAAAGCCTTGGATTGACGAGAGGAAAAGAAAGAGAGAGAGAGAATGGGGAGCAAACCGTCCTTCTAGACTCAACGTGAGAGAAGTTTGAGTAATGAATGACAAATTGATATTTTAAGAGGGACAAAAGTATTTCACGAGGGGTAAAACTAACATTCATCCAAGTGATAAAAATTAAAGTATAGATGTTAGACATTTAAATACATATAAATTACTCGGTGTATTTTATAATTAAAATAAGCAAATCATTCAAAAATTAAAATGAAGGAACTCACTAAAAAATAAAGCCCATTTCAATGATGAACTACAAAACAAATAAATATTTACATTTCAATTGAATGATTCATATCAATCTCTCAATTCACATCCACGCAGAAAATTAAAAAAAAAAATAAATAAATAAAATCACCTCCACCTCCCCCTCCTCCTCTCCCCACTCTCCTCCCCCCTCAACACCGGCAACAAATACCAGCACACGCTCACGCAGCAAATCGCAAACCCCCTCCCCGAAACAACAAAACAGAGCAAAATCAGAAGCACCACCCCCATCATATAATACGAAGGCCTCCATCTCCACCACCTAATCTCCTTCTTCTCCATCTTCTCCCTCTTCTGCTGCGACGGCGGCGGCAAATCTCCTCCTTCCCCGCTCCTCTTACCCTCTTCCTCCTCCTCCCTCCGCCGAACGACGACCGGAGTCCAATCACAAGAATCGGAACACATGAAACGGACCGAAGCGATACCGTTGGAGCCCGCGCCGGACATGATCTTCTTCTTCTTCGCCTGGAGCGCCGACACAACGGAAGAAAACTTGTCCAGGCCGCGAGACGCGTATGGATTCTTCTTCTTCGAGCGAGCCATTTGGTGCATGTGAGGTTGGCGATGAAGATTGGCGATGGGGGAGATAATAAATAGGTATTGATTGATAAGGAGAGATTTGGTCAAGGGTTGACGCGGATGCGGACGGTTTCAAAGCGGTGACTCGGTGCGGACGGCTGCTTCAAATAGATGTGGGTTTAGCACGTGTGCATCTATTAACGGAAGGATAAGGTAAATAAATAAAAGTTTGGGTGGTCTATGTATTCATCCTCATCACTAATATTTACTTGGAATATAATTTTTTCACTTATTTATTGTAATTTTAGTGGCATTGAGACTTCGTTATAATTAAATTTGGATCAACATATTTTTAATTAAATAAAAATTATGTGGAAAATCAGAATGTAAGTGAATATTATCTGATTTTAAATATAAGAAATTTAATTTTAATTTATCTATGTTGCTTGTGAATTCACACAAATCAGTTAGAGATCTATGAGGTATGAGCAAATATTACATCTAGATTCTAGATGTAATTTGCGCATGGAGTCCAACAGAGAGACGTAACGTGTCAAGTGGGCGCACTGCAATAAACTGAGATTGATCAGTGTTAAAATTTGTATGACTCATTTGACATATCACGCCTCATTATATTTATATAAATATAAATATAATTAAATTTATATTTATAAAGCGCAAAAAAAGTTATCATTATATTAAAAATACTATTATTATTAATAATTTAAAAGTGATATATATATTTTTTATGCATTAATTCATGACTCTAAGATGTTATTTTGATCAAATTCAACATTATGTGAATCACAATCAGACATTGTGTAGGAAGTTTGCTCAAACCATATCATACTATTTTGTTGTCAAAACATTTTCAGCTATATTCAAACATGATTCAAATTATGTAAAAGTTAGCATCTCCCATGCTTATGTTATGCATGAAAATTGTAGGGGTAATAGCTAATATGAAAGTTAATGATGAAGAACATTTAAAGTAGTACTTATTTGGGTGTTTATATTTATGGCTTCAAAAATGCATGTCGAACAAAGTTAATTATGGATGAAATATATTCCAACACATAATATGAGAGTGTTTTGCTCGTGTTAATCGTGCAACATGTCAACATTCCTAGAGCAGTTGATGACTTATCGATCGTCTAGTAATAATTAGGAAGTATATCAAAATATTTTGAATTTATATTATTTTAGATGCTAAGCATCTATCTATATATATATATAATTATGGAAATAATTTAAAATGGCTTGAGTTACTAGAGGAAATTTTCATAAAAAATTGATTTATATTTACTAAAAATCTTATGTTATTAAATGATATTAATTTTATTTTCTTATCAAATCAACTCAAACGCCATGAAATTTAGCACAAAGGCCAGTCAATAGAATCCTTAGGATATGAAGCATACTAACAAATTCATAGCAGTAGAGTAATATATTATTGTCTCAGTGTGGTACGAAGATTCAATACACACTAAAAAAAAGAAAAAAACAACTAGTAATTACTTCAATAAATTCATAATTATTGATTAGTATAATTAAAAATAAATATTTAAATTAAATTTTATGAAACTTAATAATGACATCATTAATATATAATATTAAACTTTCAATTCAAATAAAATATTTAAATCCTAAAATAAATTATCAAACAGTCTCACGTACTTTTAATTGAATTTAACAAATATAATATGAATAAATTTTTTAGAATTTAAACACATTGGGACTTACTAAATTCAATTTTATAAGACTAACCAAATCCTACTTAAAGCCAAGCATTGCCAAAGGGTGATTTAAAATTTTTAATAATTGTAGTAGACTAAATCAAAATAGAGTCCATAATACTAAACCCAATAAGAAGGATACACGAATACAAAGGCTTGGATCTTACAAAAATTTTTTTGTGCGGACTCCTGACGTAGCTCTACGTGCGGCGCAGGATATTCCTGAGTTATTTTCAGGTTATTTCTGGGTTATTTTCAATAATCCCGAAATAACCCAGATAGAACCCGCGTTCTTTATTTTTGAATTATTTCAGGATTATTGAAAATAACCCATAAATAACCTGAAAATAACTCAGGAATAAACTACGCCGCACGTAGAGATACGTCAGGTGTCCAGACAGAAAATACGCGCTCTTACAAAATTTTTTCTGTGCGGACTCCTGACGTAGCTTTACGTGGGGTGTCTTATGAAAAAAAAATTATTATATAAAATAATATGATCTTTTATAACTTCTTGAAGTATTTTCTTAAAAATTATATATAAAATAAGTCGAATCCTATAAAAATGTAGCATCACTTAATACATTATAAATAAATAAAATATGCTACTGTCAATTTAACTAAATAGATGCTAATGATTCATTTTATCAATAGGGGAGCTAAAGACAAGGCAGATGAAAGACAAACAAATGAGTAATGATAAAAATTGTGTGCTGCAAAGTATAATGGTATAGATCAAATAAAAAAAGAATGAGTGAAATACTCGTGCTAACCAAACGACAAAGAATGAAAGTTGGAGAGACGATGAGTTTTTGGTCAGATTTGATGCAAGTGTGATCAAGATTGGGCGTGCAAGCGACCAATGCCAATATCCCCAGCATGAGTTTGAGTATGTAAGACGTACGCAGAGTTGCGTACGTCAGGAGGTTACAGGGAGGGTATTGTGGGGTTATATCCACGTTATACCCCTTCTTGTAACCTCCCTGTAACCCCTGTAACCTACTGGCGTACGCAGCGCTGCGTACGTCTTACGTACTCAAATTTTTTCCCAGCATGAGGAGTGGGCGAGAGTCTCATTTTTGGCACAATTAATTCTGTAAACAACACTAATTTAGATGGTTAAATGAAATTAATAAATGTTAATTAAATTTCATATTTTTATTCTTTTATATTATTTTATATTTAGTAATGTTCATATTGGAGAACAGAAAAAAACAAAGATCATTGGAACAATCTATAATCGTGATATAACTGTGATTAAATTAAATCTTTTCAAGAATTATAGTTAAGATTTTTTCTAGGACTTTTGCCTTTGATGAATGAGCTCTTTCATTCAAGGATTCAGTGGAAGTTTTCATTTGATAAGATACTAGGGTTGGATTACTTCTATGGATAACAAAAAAGGGTGTCTAAATTTCGATCCATTTGATCTTTTTTTATAGGTTGAGGCTAGCTACATTAAGTTTTTTTTTCTTTCTATTATATATTTAAAGAAATAATTCTATTCCACTTTATAGTAAGTTTCTTTGTCTTAAATATATGATTTTATGAAGTGTGAATTGATTCCCTTTGAGATTGGATTTTTCTTTCTACTTCTCAATCCACTTTTGATAGTTGGGCTAGTGAAGAAAGCTCATCTTTTTCTCTAAGCATATACCCTTTGAATCTACTTTAAGTGTGAGTTAAGAGTATCAAGAGGTAGTTATTAGCCAAGGAGAAAGAATAACTATTGATAGTCTCCAGCCCTCACTAGCAGTTCTAGGAAATCCATTCTTTTGGATTGGAAAGTGCACATTTTTTTCTAGATCCAATCGGTGGAATAAGGTCATTTTCTTCTCTAAGCTTTTTTTTTTTGGTCCCCCTTTTCTATCAATCGTCAGTTAGTTGACTATATCTTATCTATACCCACCCAACAGTGTCCATTTTGGAAAAAAAAAATTTTTTTTTGAATGTTAATTGACATCCCTTTTTGAGAATATCCCAATATCATAGTCAATGCATCTCTTCAATTGGCACTTATGGATGTCTTTTTATCTTTTTTTCCTTTTTCCGACATATGATGTTTGGTAATTGCTATGACCACTTCATTAGCTCACTCCTTACTAATTGGAGCAACCCGAAGACCAATTAATTTCGTTTTTTTTTTTCACTTGGCTATTGGAATACCTTCCAATCGTGGTAATAGATCCATCTCTTGTACCAATGGCTCCTTTTGGTGCCTCACTTCAAAGTTAAGGCGAGCCAGGAAAAAAAACTTTCTAAGAAAACAAATCATCTTTTATTTATGTCATCAATTTTTAGGTTTTATGATTACAGTCAACCGACAGACACTCTAGCTGAGCAAAAATCTTCCAAAACTAAAATAAGTGACTAGAATAAGATTTTATCTAAAAATCCCATGGTTGCCTTGTGATGTGACCTTGTGATGTGCCTTTTTCAATAGCAAAGAAGCTATTTCAATCTTTTTCCATTCAACCTGTAGTAAGACAAACATGAACATTACTACAATTGAAATATAAAAAAGAAAATTCAAGGAAAAAATAAGACCTTCTTTCTAAGAAAATTTGGTTTTCACTAAACCAATATATCTTTCTCATTATCACATAAAAAATATAGATGACTGCCTCTGTAGGATTACTGCCTTCTCGATAAAGGGGATAAGGTGCTATAAATGTCCCACTAGAATGTACTGAAGGTCCTTTTGGTTCGACATACGGGGCAAGGAATGGGATAACGAGAGGAACATATAAAAAAAGAAGAAGCATTCTCTCACTATTAGAAGATAATAGTTGGTGACTCGAATCCATCTTGAGCAGCTACTCATAATAAGGGTAATTAGAGGAATTTACATAGATTTCACTCATTTATAGATAATTAGAGGAATTTATCTTCGTTAGTGTAGTCTCCTTACTACACTAAAGGTCATCAACATTGATTGTCTTCAAAATACAATCATACAAACTTTCATACTAGATCTAGAGGGAGATATATATAGCCATTCTTCCCTCACTTAATAGAATAACAAAATTTATGGCAATTGCGCCTTTTTCAAAATCAAGATCACTTCAACATTTTGCAACTAGACTCCCCTTGAACCTGTTAAACAACTATGGGACACACCCGGCTGCATAGCCCGCATACATATGTACATCTTGCTGGATGAGGAGATTGCATCTCCTCCAAGCAATAAGAAAAAAAAGAGAGCGGATCCAAGGTTACCTTCACTGCTCCTCCAGGCAACCTCTACGTAAATTTAATACCTTCATTAGTATCCTAATAACACAACAAACAAATAGCACAAAACCTCGACATTCATAAATTTCATGATGTTCCAAGGAAACTATATATAAGAGGCAAGCCATTGCATGGGCAAACGTGAACCTAGTCACAACTATTTTTCACCATTGCCAGATCTATCTAAAGACACTTTCAGTCGCTCCACTCCTAGTAACAATGAGTTGATCAATATGTCAAGATACCTTCCAAATAGATGTATATCTAGGCACAATATAGATGAAAAAGATGATACAGGAAAAAAGTCCCTTCAACATCTATCCTATACATTTGAGTGAACTTTGACAACTATGAGGTTGTCCTAGAGATACACAACCAACATGCACCCTTTTGTGTAAAAAGAAAAAAGACTTCAAAACAAATTCGCCTTAATCAAAAGAAGCTCAGTAAAATCATAACCTAGTTGAACTCAAACAGAAGAACTCTTGCCACATGTTGGAATTATTGGAAGAACTCCCCACTAACATTGGCAATCGTGAGCGAGCTCCTACCATAACCAACAATCAGAGGGATAGCTACCTCTATCAAGGAGCATCACATCGAATTTGACTATCTCAATACCTACCTCTATCAAGGAGCATCACATTAAATGAACCTCAATTAAACCTACAAAGAACACTCATTCTCTCTTTTTCCAGAGAAAAACAAAAAACAAGACATTTAGACATCCTAAAAGCAATAATTTTGATTTTTCCAAAATAAAAAGCCACTCAACACGCCTGTAAAAACATGACAAGGGATGAATGCACAAGTCACAAAAACCTATGTTGTCAAAATTATTCAGGTTGATCTTGTGAACTACTTTCTGCTCGTGATAAGCTTAATTCTAGAAAACACCTTCTATTAGCTATCACAATGCTACGCCTTTGGCGAGGACTGCTATCCCAAAAGGTATTCATCATTGAGCGAAAAATATTTCTCTTACTTTGGAGCTGTAGTGAACCACAACAGACATTTACAGACATTGTTTGGAATTATAACTCATCTAGCATCTTTGGTAATAGGACAAACAACTTCATGCTACACAACAGAAATAGAGATAGCCTCATAAAAAAGTGTGATTCTGAGTCTCCTAGTTGAGACCGGTGAGCAAGACCCAAGCATGTTAAGGATGCGGCCAGCAACATTGATTTCTTCATTGCTACATCAAGATGATATATAGCATCATGAATATAGACAAAATTTTCTTCACATTGTTTCATCAACTTTATTAAAATAACGATACTCGTGCTAGTAGATGGGTACCGATATTACTAGTTAGGGGCAGCACCATATGTTTAAGTTTGACATGGAGACATCTCAATGTGAAAATTTCATCAATGCACCACTACAACTGGAACAACTATTAGTTCCAGCGGTTTTCCATTAAAAAGGTAATATCAGCAATACCTATATATTTATTATCTTATTCAGCACAAAACAATCAGAAACTGAGTCTGCCACAAAAAGGCCAAACGCTTTCATATTAACTCAGTTAAGCAGATGATGAAGCTAATCATAATTTGCTCAAAAAACATATAACTAAAGTAAAACAAAAAAAAAACAAAAAACAAAGCTTAAAATGCATTAATTTGCTTTTTATTACTACTTTTGTATGTTTTGGGAGGTACCAATTCGTGGAAGCAATTTCATAAAAGCCAACGCCAGCGCACCGCAAAAAGGTAAGCCAGTGACAGACTATATACATTTATGAATACTGTCTAATCCGCCCCCAAATCAATTTCGGTGATCAAGTTTTACATGAGCAGATGTTGAAGGAAAACAGTAGCGCAACCGGAAAAATGAAGGAGGAGAAAGCCATCATAGAACTCTCAGTTGAGCTAGGAATGCGGCACAGAGGTCCAAAAATAGAAGCTGTGGGCCATTGACCCTCTGCAAGTCAAGAAGGTACTTCTCCTCTCTGGTCTTATAAAGCTGATAAAAAAATGAAATCACGTTGTTCATGTTTATAAAAAGAAGAAAAATATAATTTGCATACTTAAACATAAGTAACTATGTAGAGCAATCTATCACTATAGGATTATTAACATATATCAAAAAATATCTAAAAAAAATATTGAAGCAACTGCATATCATATGCACAGCAAAAGAGATTCAGTCGTATAAGAAAAATCTGTCTAAAGCAAATGTGTTTGGACAACTGACCGATCAACACTAGGTTAAAAAGACATTTTGTCTGCCTAAATATAAATTTATTAAATCTATCATCTAAATCTCCGAAATATTTTCAAATTTCAAAAATTCTCCTATCCTACTTTTAAACACCTAAGCTTAACCCTGTAAGTACATATTTGTCCATATCCTCATTCTTCTGTATAATACATTTAAATAGTCAAATATATCACATCTACATTTCATTTTGTCTTCCACTAATATTACCAGAGAATTACCAACATATCTGTTACTAAAATTAAATCAATATATTATTTCATCTATTAGTAATATTATCAAATAATTGATACATCACGTAACATGAATAAAATATTTGTTTGGACAAGTACTGTTATCTTTTAAACAATATCTCCATTGGAGGGTGGTTGTGGGGTAGAAAGAGATCGAGGATAAGGGAGGTCGACGGCATTTGGAAGATGATAGGGGGTGCTTGGGAGCAGTTTAGTCAGAAAACAACAAAAAAAATCACAAATGGCGAGGAGGATTCACCATCTGTTCCTAAGCAAGATACAGATACACTACTTGCAAAAAAAAAAAGATGATATGTCACTCCGGAGAAAGATGATATGTTACCCCGGAGATCAAAAAAACAAACATCTCCAAACACAAACACCACAGCTAAAGTCTGTCAAAATCAACAACTAACAAAATATAAATAGTTCCCTCTCAAAAACCCTAATTCGAATTAAAGAAATATTAAATTTAGGTTAATAGGGCTAGGGCTGAGGCTGCTACATGCAGCAGAATCCCGTAATAGTGATCCTTAAAAGACAGAATCATCGCATGTTTCACAGATGCGAGAACATGGAACCTATGGAACCCGTGTGAACACAGAATACCATGGAAGCAAGAATGCCGAATGTCGCAGGAGCATAATATCCCGCGCGAGACGCCCCCATGTAAATTAACTTATTTCACCAAAATATTTTCCTAACTAGAACCAATACATTCGTGAAAATCAAACACCAAATTACCTTATTTTGAATATTCTTAATAAAAATCTCAATAATAAAAGCAAGAAAGATTTGAACTTAATGTTATTCATCCATATAATCTTCTTGCAGCTCAAAACCCATTTTTGCTCTATCAAAACTATTAATATTAGTCGATGCTCAAATATTCTTATAAATTCTTTTTAAAATGACTATCAAACTAATTTCCATGAATAACCATCATAAATTTTCTCATGATAAATTAAAAAAATAGTGAAAACAATTATCAACCACTATTTTACATTAATATTTGAAAAAAAAAATTAAGATAGGCTTTCCTAACATGAAATCAAATAAACTCTGATACAAACATAATTTTCACAATTCTACGTTTCACTATTCTCCCCCGCAACTTTATTGTATGACTAATAACTTTAATTCCTTATAATTAGAACAATTCTAAATAAAATCTTCATTCTTAAATATTAATACCAAAATGATACTTCCTTAATAATTTAACCTCTTAATTTTAAAATCTTTATTTAAAACTTTTTATTAACCAAAGCACTGCATAACTCTCTAATCTCAGTAGTTATTTCATCAGTATTTATAACGTTAACTTTATGCATCATTTAAGAGCTACATTAATTCATTAATCCAGCACAATGCTTTTTAACTATGTTTAGATTATGCCACTATACATGGTAACACCTCATTAAAAAAAATAAATTCATGCTTTAAGTTTTTCTTCTAGCCTTAGTATGTGCCTCATTGGAGGCTCTTTGAACAAGTTTGTCGTGTCAATAAAAGATAAGAATAATATATAGAGATTAGTTATTCGAGCATTTACATAACACTCAATTCCAATGTATTTATATGCCTAACACCTAAGTTTTATTTTTTCACTTTGTCACCCAAATCTTTCATATCACATAAAAAATACCAAATTTTTTACTTTTAAAATGTAAAATACACCTTTTTATGCATAGGAAAGGTGGTATAAATGTAAAATTGAAGTATAGGTGTTAGATATGTAAATACATAGAAATTAAGTGGTATGTATGTAAATCTTCGTTAGCTATTCTTAAGTGAACTCATGCAGTTCGACACAAGTAGGGTACACATGCATTCTTAAGAGGAGATACAAGCAATACTCTAGATCATAAATGACTGGACAACCTAATCTGAGGTAGATATATGAGTAAAATGTCAAAATAATCCCCTGTTTAATGGTGGTCATTTTAGTCTCAGAATCTATAAGTGTCAAATTAGATTAGGGTTGAAATAGTTCTCTATGGGACTATTTCAGCCCATATTAAAATAGTATGGGTACTAAATCAGCACTTATATAGACTCTGGAACTAAAATGACCTGTACAAAGAGTCAGGCGATCATTTTGACATTTTTCACGTAGATAAATGGACTATCAATAATCCACCAGCATAGATTCAATTTGCGACAATTGTGGATGGCTTGAGACTAGAGTTTTAATGAAGATTTTAGTGGCCAAGAAATTAAGGTGGCCGCTGATTAAGAAAAGAAACAACACAAAAACATAGATTTTCCTAACACTGAGAAATCCCCATGCAACTCTGAGAAATATTCTTCATCAAAAAACGGATAAAAAATCCTAGTTTATTGAAAACCATCTTCAGATATACATGTAGATGATAAAAAAGCTTAGAATATAAATAGTAAACTTAAATAAAATTCTAGTTTGTTTCATTATGCAAATATGCAGAAAAAGTAGAAAGGATGGCTAGCATAGAGCGGTGATAAAAAGTGAACGTTCAAAGAGATTAAAAGGATACAAAAAGACACGATATTAGCTTTTTTTCTATTTATGTAGAATCCTAGCATAAAGTAGTAGTCCTTCTCAATTAAAAAATGGCTAAAAGTCGAAAGAATTTTTCACTCTCCTCACCACCTAAGTATCCTCCAACAATTATAAATACTTAAGCAAAAAATAAGACCCTTTCATAACCAGTTAATGAGGTTGTCACTATTTGAGTAAAAGCATGTGTTTGTGTGTGTTGTGTGTGAAAATTTCTAGAGTACCTGAACTTCAAACTTAACCACATAAGATGCACTTGCAGCAAGATCATCATTTCCAATGATGTCAGATTCATCACTGTATCCACGATAAAATCCAGGCATCCATCTGCATTTCATATTGTAGTGACCAATTTTTTTCCAAGAAACATTTAATTCTTGAAGCGCTTTAAGAACTTCCATCATTATTTCACGAGGATGAGCTCTAGACTGCAAGAACACAATGACTATAACTCAAAAAGATTGCATAAAATTAACTAAAGCATATAAGACAAAATATATAGCAAATTTCTTGACCTGAAGGCCAAGAGCCCATTTTCTTTCAGAAGGGAAATGGGGCCTTAAACTCGCACCCTGAGGATCCACATATCCAAACATGCGAGGGCTAACAGCAGGAGGGCTAACAGCAGGAGCAGGCATGTCACATGTACCCACTCGAGTGAAGCCACATTCCTAGTAGTCAATAACAAAATCAATAGAACACAACAGAAACAGAAACAGAAACAGAAGAATCTTAATTGATAATTTCCTACAAACTTGAGCATTAAGGCTTGTTTGGGATCAGTTTTAATTTTTTTTTCAAAATTATGTTCGTTTAATGTATTTTTTACATTTTTTTTATGTTTTTAATAACAAAGTAAAATGTTTTTTTTTTAAACATTCAAAATAGCTTTTAGATATTTTGAGTATTTTTAAAAATAATGACAATTTAATAAAAATCCAAACATGTTTTGTTGCAAATCAAAATATAAACAATACAAAACAAAAACAAAAACTAGAAAATAAAAGATAAAAGTGGTCCTAAACAGCAGCTAAGAAATTCAAAACTCACCATGCTTTCCTGAAGTTCAGATCCAAGATAGCCACTGGCAACACGGAACCTGTTGTCTAGAAGCAAATAATACGCTACAGTCGCCTGTGACAAAGCCACACAAAGTGTTTTGATCTAAGAACTAAATGATTTCAGAAAATCTTGGGTAGAATTGAGCACCTCATTTTGGATTCTGTTATGCAGAGATTCAACCAACTGGTTCTTCTCAAATCCCATTATTACAACCTCCTGAAGGATTTCTTCATCAATCTGCATGTATGAAATGAATTGACGGATTTTAGCGTAAAGTTGATCATAAAAGATACAAATAAGCACAAAACAACAATGCTTCTTGAAGGGTCAGATAAACCACTAATCAATTAAAAATATATATATAAGGACTCCAACAAAACAACATTATTAAAACACATAATTCATGAGAACATGTAGAAAGCAGAGGACTTGTCAGAAGACAAATTTGGGTGATATCAAGCTTAAGGAGAAAAATCATCAAATTTCACGTAGGGTATATGAAAAAAAAAAAAATTGCTATCAAGTTAGAAAAAATCAGAAATTTGAAAAGAACATAGAAAGCAGCCAAATTTGTAGGAGGGGACAATATTTGGTAAACAGCTTATATATTCTCTACTTTCATTTTCAAAACTTTTAAAAAACTGTTTTCATTGCCATAATTTTTTTTCCAAAAGCAACTCTCTAAAACAAATTCTGGATGAAGAAAAAGAAATGGTAGTAATTGGATAATTCTATCAGAACAAGATCATTAAGAAAAAAGCTTAAGATGAATTGAGTATACAATGGCAAGCAAAAGGAAAACCCATAAAACAGGGAGTTAGAACTTGAAAACAATTAGCAATTATTAGAATTATTAACATATTTCCGCTGCAGTTATTATTAGCCTTTTTTTTTTTTGCTTTTGTTTCCATATTTATGAGATCTATTTATGAATTTATATCTTTCCTTTATTTGTGTATTTCTTTTTATTTGAGTCTTATAATGTGTAATTATAACCCTTCCACTATCTATGAAAGTATTGTGCTCTATTCTCAGATTCCCTTCATGGTATCAAAGCTTAGGATCTAACCCAACCCACTGTCGGGGCATCTACCTTGCCATCGACACTCACTATAAGTCTCCTCTGTCGCCCTCCTTCCCTAAAGCTTTCTCCATGGAGTTCTCCTCCGCTACCAACCCTCCTTCAACTGTCCTGCAAGTCTCCCTGCAGATTTCCTTTGCCTTCTAGCATATTTCCTACATATTTCCACCGCTATGGCATCTACCTTGCTGTCGGCCCCTCCTTCTGCCCTGCAGGTCTCCCTGTAAGTTTCCTGCAGATTTCCTCTGTCTTCTAGCATATTTCCTGCAAGTTCCCTGAAGGTTCGGTCGCTAAAATGTCGCCGGTTCTCCCTCCTGCAGTCAGAATCCTTTGATGTCTCAGAATCCCAACCTCATCTTCAGCTTGGTCGAAATCATGGCGGCCTCCACCATCGAGCCTCCTTTCGACGGGGTAATTAAGTACAGCAGAGGATCGACAATGACCTCAATTCCTCCGAAAACTGGAGGACCGGAAAACCAAATGAACTTCTTGATCACCATGCATAAACTTTAAGAATCTAATTTTCTCTAATGGTCTCAAGCCGCGTTATCGTTCATCAAAAGACACAAAAAATTTGGCTATCTCACAGGGATGATTCACGGACCTCTGAAAACTGACTCGGCATATGGTGCATAGGAAGTGGAGAATTTCATGGTCATGTCTTGGCTGATCAATCCAATGGAGGCTACGATTGACCATTCGTAATTGTTTCTTCATCTGCAAGTGCACTATAAACGACAGTTCGGGATATCTACTTGGACGTAAGAAACTTAGTTGAGGTTTCTAAGAGGATCCGCGAGGCAAAACAAGGATCAAGGACCGTGACCTAGTAAGTACTACAATGAATTGGTGGCCTTATAGATGGAATGTGATCTCTACTATGACTACACATGTGACTCTCCGACAAACTTTTCCTTTTTCTAGAAAATTGTGGAAATAGATCGCGTGTTCCAATTCTTGACGAGTGTAAACAACGATCTCGACGAAGTCCAAGATACGAAGTCCAAGATCGTATTCTTGGTCGGGAAACCCTTTCTTCAACTCATGTTGCATTCACTGAGGTACACCGCGAAGAAAGTCAGGGACTTGTCATGTTTGGCACTTCCACTCCTTCAGCTGAATCGACTACCTTGTCCTCCAATAGTGCTCAACCATCCACGTCATCACAGACCAATCACTCCACTTATAATTACTATCACAGGCCCAACCATACTCGTGAAAAGTGTTGGAAGCTTCACAAGAAACTAGCGAATAAACCTTTAACCAAATCCTTCGCTACTAAGCATCTCACTACGACGCTTGAATATATTACGACACAACAAACTCCCACTCAGAATACTCTGGAATCGCCCAAATCTTTTAAAGAGTTAGGTGGAACAATTAAACAAGTTGTTTGGATCCAGTCAACTGTCTTCCGACCCATCAACCTTCTACATCCGTCAAGATATCATTCCTATGACACTCACTTCTTTTGTCTCTTCTAGTCCATGGATCATTGATTATGGTGTCACAAACCATATGACTGAATGCTCTTGAGCTTTCTTGACATATTATCCATGCTCGGGGGAAGATACATTTAAAATTGTTGATGACTCTTGCAATTCTATTACTGGTAAAGGGTTGTTTGTATTAACAGCCGATCTAACTCTAAAATCTGTGTTACAAGTACCTCTGTTAAAGTGTGACAATTTATCTGTCAATAAGTTAACACATGATATTGATTACGTTGCTAATTTTTCTCCTGATGTTTGTCTTTCAAGATCGTCATTCGAAGAGGATGATTAGACTGCTAAGAGGTATTCGAGCTTTACTTCTGCCAACAAAAAGGCACGGAAAACGATGACACTTTCTTTCAGTAGTTGCAGTTTTTCTCAATCCATTGAATGTCTTATAGAGTTATTATATTATCGTTTGGGTCATCCTAGTTTCAATATTTAAAAATAATTGTATTTGTCAATGTTTACTAATAAAAACCTTACTAGCTTCAAATGTGACATTTTCAAATAACTAAACATCATCTCGTTTCGTATTCATTCCACTCTTACATAACTTCTGCTCCTTTTTACTTATTCACAGTGACTTATGAGAACTCTCTCGCACTCCCAGTTACACTAATAAATGGTGGTTCTTTGCCTTGATTGATGACCACACTCGAATGATGTGGATCTATATCTTAAAAGATAAATCTAAAACCGTTGTCATCTTAAAAAACTTTCACTCCATCTTCACCTAATTCAAAACGTTGTCGGCAGCTAAAAAGAAGAGGTTGGTTAAAGTTTGTAGGTTGCCCGTAAGAAGCTGTCGGTCGCTAGAAGTGAAGTCCCGTCGCCCGCTTCGGAAGGACGTTTTAATTTATATATATATATATATATATAATTTTAGAAAAATATGAAATCAAACTGACCTCATAATCCCGAGGGATAAACACAAGACTTGAGGATGAGACTCGATCAAATAAACTAAGAAATATATGACATCTGTTTGGTCTGCGAAACCGTTTTATTTGCCGACAAGTTCCCCTATTTAATACAAAGAATTAAATAGGGTTTATTTTAGGCTGAGTTCGGAAAAACTTCCTATAAGGCCAAACCCCTATAGTTAATTACATCTTAAATGACCGAAGTCACCTAAGAAAACTCTCGATAGAAATCAGGAGATATCATCTTCAAAGAAGTCAAAAGGATATGACTTTTCAACGAAATCGGACAAAGAGGTGTGAAAGGGGAAATGCTCAAACCTGGAACAATGTTGAGGAATTCAAATGAAGAGAAACTAAGGGAAGACCACAGACCCGGAGACGAACCTCAATGATTTCCCAGTTTATCCTATGATTTGGATTTAGTTTTGAGAAAAAATTATTAAAGTGTTTCATCCTGCCAATTTTATTTAATTATGACTTATATTTGTGTGACATGATCACACAAATCGCCTGGAAGATGAGGGTTTACGTCGTATCGGACGACAACCTCGAAACCTAGAACGAGTTAGGGCTTAAATCGTACAGCAGAGCTATACAAATGCCTAAAGAAAAGTTGGAGGATTTATGTTGCGCCAGACAAACAACCTCGAAATCCTATGGATCGTTGTTTAATTTCTAGGAGAAGGGAAACGGAAGCAGAGCTCGGGTGCGTGGGTTTAGGGATTTGGTGTTTAAAGAGGAAAGGGATAAAATAGGTTTTATATAAATTAATATATATATATACATATATAAGTATATATATATATATATATATATATTAAATTATATGCGATTTACTAGCGCGCGGCGTCGTAACAAAATAGGTGCCCTTCCTCGACACTCCGGACGTGCCGGTGCAGTCCGTTTTGGTTCGGAAGACGTCGTCGACAATCGGGTCAAAAACGCGTCAAAATTCAAATTTCACAAAATTTAGACCCGCGATCGATTGTTTCAAAAGATTTATTCGAGCCTTCGACGGGTAACAGTGCAAGCGATGCGAATTGAGGCGATCGAACGCGCCGACTCTCCGAATTGCGAAGTTTGTGCGCGCGGGAGTGCGAATTGTGCAGAAGGCCACCCTAAGGCTCAGGAAGGTCCTATAGGGAATCCCTTTTGGGTTTCCTCATGTTGGTTTCATCTTTCTAAGTGCTAGAAGTCGATACCACACACGTAAAACTCCAGAAGGGGACAGAAGTGGGTTATATTTCTAAAATGAGGCGGGTCTCGTTTCTAAGGTTCTAAGATAGTCAAAGGGAGACCCCTAAGGCTAGATCCTAAATCCTACGAGAAAGACTAGACCTCACTAAAAATGAGGTCAACAAATGGACCCCCAATAGGTGTGGTGTGTCGGACGAGCATACCACGCGTATTGGTGTTAATCGAAAAGATCAACGAAACCAATATGAAAGGCTAGGCCATCATGCCTAGAACAAAGCGTAGAAATGAGTGATAAAAACACATCCGCTGAGAATTAGAAGATGGATTTCAGATTGTCGAGTTTCGAGTGTAGATTTCGAATTCGAATTAGAATTTGATTTGTGTTTAATTTAGTGCTGAAAAGGGAGTAGGGCGGAGGCCTACGGTCCCGAGGGAGTAGAACGGAGGTTTACGGTCCTGGAGCATTTCGGTGGGAGTAGGGCGGAGGCCTACGGTCCCGAGGGAGTAGAACGGAGGTTTACGGTCCTGGAGCATTTCGGT